CCAATGCAACGGTTGTATCATAGTATAATGCAAGGACACTTCTAGAAACTATGTTTGTGGTATTTATATGGTCCCAAATTTTATATACATACTCTCTTCATCTCAATAATCAATTCTCCCTAAAAAAAAGTTCAATTTGAACCCTAGATATGATCAAAATGAGTCCCCTCCAAAAACGAATCTAGACCATTCATTTTGTGAATTTCAAGATCTTAGCTTTTATAAACTCAAATTTTTATTTTTATTTTTTAACATTGTTCATCTAATGATAATAAAGCCATCCAAAAAAATTGGAAATGAAAAAAATCCTTCTAAAGCCTAGATCTATGCATCTTTTTAAAATGAACGGTCTATGTTAATTGGGCTAAAAATATACTTTCTAGATTATGCTTTCAAATTTTTTTTTTTCGTGATTGTTTATTAGCATGAAAAAGTGTATATTTCAAAATGCAGATCAAACATAAGGTTATAAGATGGTTTTTTAAGGTTATTATATCATATTACTATATAAAAGTTGTATGAAATCATTGGCCTAATTATATATATATATGAAAAGTTTTGCAACGCCTCCAACGATATTGTACAGTGTTTTCGCCCCCACCTTATCGACTGTCCGTTGAAACAAATTCAAATCAACGGGTCGTGATCAGCTGAAAAAGCTCTGCGCTCGAGATGATCCAGATTGGCTAAAAAGGCTTCAAACCTCTCAAACTTTCTTTTTACCCTTCTTTTCCATTTCCTTTGCGAACTCCTTCTCTTTGTGATTTCCTCTGCGACCTCCCTCTCTCTGTCAGGCTTCCCTCTCTCTACGAGGCTTCCCCCTTGGCTTGGACTCTTCTCTCCTCTGCTATGTGAAGAGCTATTCTTTCTCGTTCGTCCCCTCCCCTCTCTGCGAAGCCTGATCGCGGTCATCTCTGTCGTCCTCTCCTCTCTCTGAGAAGCTCTGGTTCTGCCACAGACGCCACACACTCCTCCTCTGTTAGGGCATCAATCGGGTGAGTGATTATCTTGATTTGTTTGAACCCTAATTCATGAAATGTTTTTTGCAGTGGGTGAAATCCCTCTATTACTCTTGTAAAAAACCCAAGTTTTTTTGCAAAAACCTACCCAAGATAATCAATCGGGTGAGTGATTATCTTGATTTTTTTTGCTTGAACCCAAGCCACAATCTAACCCTGGGTGAAATCTCTCTATTGCTCTTGTAAAAAAACCCAATTTTTTTTCCAAAAACCTACTCAAAACCCTACGTTTTTGTCCAAACACCCTACTTTTTTTCCCCGAAACCCAGTTTTTTAATGTTTCATTTCAGCAATTAAACGGATCCTACCTTTTCCCTCTCATGTGCTAACTCAACCAAGGTATGTGTGCTTTGTAGGCCATTTTACCCAATTTTCTTCTGAATTAAATCACAAAAACATAGAAAACAATAGTTAAATTGGATTTTATTGCTTTATTTTATCATTGATTCTGAAAGAAAACTGAATTAGATAGTTATAAATGGGTTTCATTACACAATTTTTATTATTTGGATCTATAACTTGAAGAAGTTGCAATGAATACAGCTGAATCCCCTAATAGAAAAAAGAATGCATGTCTTTCAATTGAAATTTTAAATCAATTATTTGGTTCAAAAAATTTACTGAATAAATCACCATAGAAAATGCTTAAAAAGGCACATATGGGAGAGAGAAAATTTTTTAGGCCATTGTGCGTTCGTTTGAATGAGAACCATCTATTCAAGGTTTTGGATTTTGAGAATACGAACAGTAATTTGGTGAGCCTTTTGGTTTTATACCTTATTGCATTTTTCTCATTTTTGAGAATACGAACAATGGTTCTCTTTTTTTTTTTTTGGAGTATTCGTATTTGATCTTATGTATTTTTTTATTTATAAAATCCATAAAGGAGTTGTTAATTAGCTAAATTTTCTGAGTTGATGTTGATTACTATCATTAGCACTATTATGTTCCTTTTTCAAATAGAATTTAATGTTTTTTCTTTTAGATTATTACTGTTTTTTATTTTAGGGGCATGGAAATGTTCATTTTCAGACTCTTTGCCGAGAGTCTTCGCAAACTTGCACTTTTGGATGTGGTGGACATGTGTACAAATACATGGGTCTATACACATCCTCCAACCAACATGATTCGGTAATTTATTTTAGTTTTATTTGTATAGGTGATTGAGATAGCATATAGACAGAAAGATGTGCCCATAACTGACTTGTAATGTTTCTCAAACCAGAATTTTTTGGAGGTTACTTTTATTTCTAGTCCATCATGTTAATCAAATTTTAATACATAGAAGTGGGTCGTAACTTGGTTCATTTCCATATAATTATCTTTTTTGAGTTTGCTTTGACTGGTTTTTTCTTCATAATCTTCTAGGTAGAACATTTGAAAGAACTGTCCAAGCAGCCCGACATATATGATAGGCTAACCAGGTCACTGGCACCAATTATTTGGGAGCTTGAAGATGTAAAGAAAGGTCTTCTTTGTCAGGCTTTACCTCCTTCTTGTAGCTTTTCATTTACAATGGTTTTTTTTTCTCATAATTTGGATGATTATGTTTATAGCATACATTCCTTACATTTGATGTCACAGCTATTTGGTGGGAATGCTCTAAAACTGCCGTATGGGGCTAATTTTAGTGGTGACATCAACATCTTGCTTGTTGGTGATCCTGGTACTAGTAAATCTCAACTTTTCCAATACATACACAAATTACATCCATGAGGAATTTACAATAGTGAGAGGGGGAGCTCAGCTTTGGGCCGGACTGCATATGTCTCCAAGGAACCAGAAATTAGAGAAACAATATGTTTTTGAATTCATATGTGCTTGAACCTTACTGTCACATTTTTTATCTTTTTCTAATGGCAATCATATTCTAAAAAATAAATATAGGTGGTACTTTACGATAGTTTTGCTCAAACTCGTCAGACACCATATCTCTCGACTTTATTGCAATTTCTGAACTCTTTAAGATTAATCTCCTCTTGCTTTCTATTAACCAGAAGTCCTTATGCCTTACCTTCAATTTAATTTCCTATATCTCTCTGAACTGTCAATTTTACCTACCAATAAAAAAAGCTGCTTGATTTAGTTGCTTTTGGGTGTTAATGTTATTTTAGTTTTTTTTTTGTTAGATCAATAGGGAATACATGCTACCCATTTTTAGAAATAATTAGGGTTTTTTGAATGCGTCTGGAATGGAAACCTAGACAGGCTTTTAGATCTTAAGTCTTTTGTTGGTTTAGTTGGGTTATATATTGGCATCCTTGGTGTAAATTTTATAAGGACGTCTTTGGCTAGATTTTAGATTAGAGCTGTTAGTAGTCCTCATAAAACATGATTTGTCTGAGTTCCTCTTGGTCAAATTGATGAAAAAAATGAAATGATAATGAAGTACCCCTATTTTTTATTGGATTCCTAAAAAACAACATTTATAATGAATTTTAATAATTTTTTTCGAATTATTTTTAAAGCTAAATCCGACCGATTCGGCCGATTCTCCATCTGAATCTCTGATTCACCGATCTAGATGGGTTTTTGAGGTGCCCGATCCAGGTCATCGATCTGTTTTTAAAATCACTCGTTAAAACCCATGAACATACCATGGAAAAATATGTAAAAAGAATGGATGTTGTGGAACCCAAACAAAAATAAATAAAAACAAAACAAATGAAGGATGTGGCAAACAGCGTATATTATGCTTCCGCCGAATTGTGTCAAGCATGAATTGTCTTGTATAAAACAATATCAATTAGAGTTTGCAGGGTCAAGTGAAATAGGTTTTTTATGGTGGGAAAACTTTGGAGGGAACCGAGTAAAACCCACATAACAGAATTATACCTCATTTTAATCAGAGTTTGGAGGATTAAGTGTAGTTACCCTACCCCTCTAAATTATGGGAAATTATATAATGAGATAATTTACTTTTGGTATAAAGTGTTCACAATTAATTTTGACCATTGGATGTGAAATTGGATGGCTATATTTATTTCATCGACAAAACTTAATTTTAAAAAGATTTTTCTTCTAACTTTGTAACACACCCAAACTATCAAATTTCACGTCGAATGATTATAAATAATTGTGACCTCCTTATACCAAAGGTAAATAGTTTCATTGTATACAATCTCCTAAATTATTACCTCCCGTACGTGCTTCGACATCAAACCTAGAGATTCTAATATGAACATGCCATGATTTTCATAAATAAGCCATAATCACTCAATACAAAGGTTTTAAAAATCAGCAAACCAGACTAGAACTAGTATGTTTGAATCGGGAATCGTCGAGGCCAATTTTGCTTAAATAACATGTCGATTCCGTCGAAAACCAGTGACTTCCAATCAGTTCTCTAACCGAACTTGCCGATTCTGTCAAAGAACCAGTTCTATATTATTTTTTCAATTTCTTTTGCTCTCTAGCTTTTTGAATTTTTTATTTGTCAATTCATTTAGCCGGATTTTCGATCCAAATTGCCGACCCGAGAATCCATGATTTCCGATCCAGATTGCCGACCCGACAATCCATGATTTCGGATTGAGATTGCCGACCCACTTATCCATACCAGGGTTTCAGAGGGTCAATTTGGGTCACCGAATGTGTTCAAACCTTGCTCAAAACATCAAGATTTTTGGGAAATTCAAACCTCGAGTTAGCATTTCAAACATTCCTTGTTATTCATATTTCCTTTTGGCTACATGTCCTACTTCTTTATACTTCAATCATTCAATCCAATACAAAATTCAAAGGAAGAAATCATGGTAGAAGCTGCTACAACAAGGATACAAAAGTCCGAAAACTAGCCGTTGCAAACGAAGCACCCATGACTAAACAACAAGGCCCTGAGAGGCTGAGAAGGCACGTGTATTGAAGGAGCATAAACCCTCCTCAAAGAAGGCCTACTAAGCACCATCCAAGCCACCATCTCCGAGCCCACCTCGCACCCCCTCAGGTCCACTTCTCTTAACAAATGGCTCATTTCCACGAGCCTTTTGAGCCCACTTTCGCTAAACCCAGCAGAACTACCTAAACCCAAACACACCAGCCTCGAGCCCACTTGACTCAAACCTTGGTCTGTTAACCCAGACCCATTTGCGTCCAGAACCTCGAGCGCATCGAACCCACTTGAGCCGCCGAGGGTCTTCACTTTGCTGCAACCGTTTAAGATCAAAACCCTAATTTTTGGGCAGTGGTTTCCAATGGATCGTACGCCTGCTTCTGTTATTCCCCAACAATGGCTGATATCCAGGGTTTCCAGGCCATGACAAAAGGCGCTTATTGATTGTAAGGTGTCGTCTTCAAGGTTTTTGTTCCAGGCTAGTTTTAGGGTTCTGATATGGAGGTTTTTGGCCTGAGGATTCGTGGTGAAAAGCCCTAACCCTAGCCTCGTTTTCTCCATGTGAAGCTCTTTGAGGTTAGGGCACTTGGTAAGTAGGTTGCAGAAAGAGGAATTGCTGAGTTTGAAGCAGGAATTGAGTGAGAAAAAAGTTAATCCCTGCAAATTCTCAGATAGGACGCTTAGCGTTTCATCTGTTAAAAAGTCAAGGCCGTCCAGGTTTAGGTGTTCAAGAACAGGGCAATTTTGAATAAGGGATGAAATTCCGTGGAAGGCGAAAGCCCTGCATCTCGATAAGACCAGATTTTTCAAAGGGAGCTTGAGGTCTTTAATGGCAATCAGAGGCTCCTTCAAAAAAGCAGAGTTTGACAGGTCCAGGCTCTGCAACTTTTGAGCTTTCAAAAGGAAAGAATCTACGAAATGAGGGGAAGTTAGCCAACACACGCTTACAGAGAGAGAAACCACACTAGGGCACAATGCGAGGTCTAATAGGCATTCATCGCTGATGAAGTTGCAATCAAAGGCAGAAATCTTTTGCAGTCTAGGACAAAAATAAACAAGAGCCATAAGGGCCCCATCGCAGATAAGATGGTTCCCTGAAACATCAATCTCTCTGAGATTCGGAAGTTTCGAAGCCAAATCCCTAATTGCCTCATCTTTTACACCATCCCCTTCTGGATTGCTCACATCAAGCTCTTCCAAAAAGGGAAAACAATCGCCAATCTCCGCGAGGTCATCATCTCTCAAAACCCTGAGTCTTGAGCACTGCAGAGACCTCAAGTTCTTGTTGGTCTTCCCCAGCTTTCTCAACCCCTTCAATGGCAAACGCTTTTGCCCGAATAAACCCAGGGTTTCCAGCTTGTTTCCTCCAGATCTTGAGATTTCTCGCAATACCTGATCTGGATTAGCTACAAATTCGGAGAGATCTATACGCCTAAGATCTCTGAACCTTCTGAGTAATCTTGATAAACCACCTGATAAAGAGGGCAAGGGTTCACGGATGGTGAAATTGACGCGAAGGCGATTAGATATAGACAGAAACCGCCTGCAAACAACAGAGACCGACTCGAATTGGCGAGGAGATGACTGCAAATGATGAAAAACCAATTCCCAGCATTCTTCTGGTAAATCTTCCCAATTTTCGGCCATTAAAGAGCTTCAGAGGTTCTCAGAATGAAGGCTAGGGTTTTGATCTCGAGAACCAGCTCAATTCTTGGCCATTAATGGAAAGGTTCAGAGAATTGAGACGACGAAGAAAAAAGAAAGAGCTCCTCGGAAATGGAGTTTGGATTTCAAATTCGAGAAAATCTTGAGAACGTGGTCGGGTATTAAAGGACGAAGATACGATGAATTTCAAATACTGCAAATGTGTCCCTGACTTTCATAATATTACGTTGTGGTCTTTGGTGCTGGCGTTTCAGCATATTAATAAAAAACCAAAAAAAAAAATGAGAAAGATAATTGAATGATTGCTTTTGTTTTTTTTTTGCGGAAAAGCTTATATAGAGACGATGCTCTAAACAATCAAATTAAAGCCTATCTCAAAATTTTGATTAGAAGATGTTGTTTTGATGCCTAAATATCTTTCAAATTGATCATCTCGACATCAAGATGTATGGACAGGAGAAAAAAAATGGATTTTAAGTTTTGAAAATAGTGTATTTTGTAATGCATTTTTTTATCGTCAATTTTCAAGATTGTCAAGTTTTTATAGGTCAAAGCACATTTGTCGATACTATTTGAAGGTAGGCTCTAATTTGATCGTTTAGAGCTTAGGATCTTTACAAACCGCACCCCTTCTTTTTTTCGCTTGTGTTGCAATAGTCAAGTGGTGTTAATGAACTTTTCAAGGTTTTAGAAAAGGTTTCTTTAGGCAATTATTCCATAATTTTATTCTTCATTTTTGGATGCTAAATATCTTTATTCTTCAAAATTAGATTTTTTGTTTAGAAGTATTTCAAGTAATTTATGGACCAAAATAGAAATTCTCATTAGATAAAGAGTGTGGTTTCGATGAGGTTGTAACCTTAAGCAATCCAACTAAGGTGCACCTTAAAATTTTGAAGTAAAATAGTCTTAGGATTATCTCAAAATCTATTTTTATATCTAATTAAAAAATTTTAAATTTCAAAAATAGCTAAAATCAAGTAGATCTATAATATTGTAAGATGCACTATTTCTGAAACCCAAAATCTTTTTTTTTTTCATAGTCATATATCTCAATGTCAAAATGATCAATCACAGGGTTTTTCAACATTAAAACAACCTTTTTCGATGGATTTTTGAAGTGCATCCGTAGTTCTATATTTTAAGGTTGCAACCTTATGTAAACCTTTCCCTTAGATAAAACATGTATTTTTTGAATTATTATACATCACCCAATAAAGGAAAATGGTTTGGTAGGGCGACATCCCTATCAAAATAAGTGAAGCCAACTCATCAAAATTTGTAACTCTTGGAAAACTTTTACATCGATCATTTTGACTTGAACATTATGGTTGTGAGAAAAAATAGGATTTCAAACTCTAAAAATAATGTCAATTTTAACAAATTATCTAGACCGTCCATTTCGCCCTAAAAATAAGTGTTCAAATATCCACAAGATCCGTACGATTTTTTGAGTCTCAAAATTTACTCTCAGCGTTGGAATTGATTTTAGAGTAATCGTGAAAATTTATGTGGCCGAAAGTGTTTTCTAGACCAGGATTTAAGGTGAGGCCTTATTTGGTTGTCATATAGCCTAGGCCTTATAGAAACCTCATCCCCAATTAAATGTCGTTCCCCCACCGTTGGAAAAAAAGGTGCCATTGCAAAAAAAAAGAAGTTTAGATGGGTCTTTGGTGCATCCCTATTCAAACGTTCTCTCGTTCAGGAAATCCATTTTAGGGATAGATTTTGGATCAATTATTATTTTTATGTTTTTTTTTTTGTCAATAATCTCAACCACCATAACATAAATTTGATAAAGGAAAAATAAAAAGACTTTAAACATTAAAAAATGGATCACGTTAAACTTTATTTTGGAATTGTCAATTTTTATACTTCACATATCATCATTTTGTACATTATTTGTTGAGCTGCAAAATCATAGATTTCAAGGAGAAATACAACCGCATTGACTTAGGATGTGTTTCATAACCTAGGTCTATCTCTAAGATGGATATTTCGAAAGGGATGCATTTGACTAAAGACCAAACATAATTGTTCCCAAAAATTTGTGCATCGAAAGGCAGTGTATTTAGTTACTGATGAAATTATGTAGAAGGAGCACTCCACAAAACAAGTAAACATAATAACCTCTCCCTCCCTCCCCCTCTCTCTCTCTCTTAATGAGATAAAATCTTATATTTCTTCTTTCTTTTTTTTTTGACAAGATTGTTTAATTTTATTAGAATCATACGAAGATTACGACAAAAATGAACGAGTCGGAAACTTGCAAATTGTCCAACAAACCACCTTGCTTAGCCAACCTATCTGCAACTTCATTGGCCTCTCTATAGACATGTTTAAAAAAAATTTCCTTCTCATAAATAATATCCATAATTTGCATCCAAATCGATCTTAAACACCATGGCGGTCTAGCCTTCTTATTACACCAGAGAGTTTTATACTTTTATTGCCAGCAATAAAAAGTCGCAACATTCTTGTAACAATCATCCATTATAACAATTACATATTCCCACCATTATTGATTATTTTGTCTCATTTAGGTTATTTGTGGAACTTCCCCATCCAGCAAAAGTTGGGGAATAGACTTTATGGCATCACTATATATATGATTATTTCGAGGAATATAATGGTTTGAGTTCATATCAGCGTTTGCCGGGATTCGCCTTGGCCAACGGACTCACTGGCTAAGGCAAATTTCGTTGGCATTAGAAAAGGGCCAAAAGGCCTTTAAAAATTTATTAAAAATTTAAAAAAAAATTAAGGAAAATTTTTGAAAAACCAAAAACATCTATTAAGAGTAAATTCAAACCAAAAACACTTTTAAAAGTTAAAAAGGGCAGGTTTGTGCAGAGAAAATATGGATTTAAAAAAGGGTGCGGTTTGTACAGAGTTGAGGCTCTAAAGAATCAAAGTAAAGTGCGCCTTCAAATAGTATCGAAAAATGTGGTTTCAATATTGAAAATCCTTGTGATAGCTTTAAAATATATTTTCATCTCTAATTATAAAATTTAAAGTTTAAAAAATAGTGTAGATCGAGCAAATATGTGAAAACTTACAAATCTTGAAAATTGACGGTAAAAAATTGCATTACAAGATACAATATTTCCAAAACTAGAATCCAATATTTTTTCTCCTGTCCATGTATCTTGAGGTCGAGATGATCCATTTGAAGATATTCGAGCATCAAAACAACCTCTTCTAGTGAAATTTTTTATGTGCACCTCAATTTGATTGTTTAGAACCTCACACTTATGTAAACTTTTTCCTTTCAAAAACCCAATTTACAATTTGGGACAAATGCAATTATGGCAAAAAGAACACTCATCAATCCTTTTCAAATACATATAAATCATGTAAGAAAAATTTGTATAACATAATTTGATTTTTTACAATTCTTTTATTCTTTTGAATTTTAAATGCCCCGATGTACTCGGCCACAAGGTGAGGCCAAGTAACTCGACCGACCCGAGTCCGGATGCATTAGAGGGCCTTCCTTTTCAAAGGTGAACATGACATACAATTCTTAAGAAAAAATGGTTTAAGTTCGAAAATGTAGATTGCAAAGGGAGCAACCTCCCATGTCCAAAATAGAGAAATGGTATTGTGGGCATGCATGTATCTTTTCATCATTTCCAAAAAGTTATGGGCCATGCTTCTAAGTGCTATAATTGCTGAATCCACATTTTGAAATCCAAGTGTGGAACCGTTGGACATCTTTCTCTCTCCTCCTTTGTAGAAGCCGTTGGAGCTGGATTTTGAATTTGAAACTTTGAATTGCCTGGATTGCACCCGTATTCCACTGGGCCCTGTCCCCCTCCTCGCATGTGAATTAATGACAACACCTTCAGAAGAGACATGAAACTATGCAGAATGGGTTCATTTATTTTTTTTTTTTTTTGTGTAATTCAGTAGGGAAGATTGGCCCGTACCTTTTTTTTTTTTTTTGGGTAATTCAATAGGGAAGACTGGCCCGTTCCTGTTTTTTCAATAGATTGAGGAGTTACATTTTGAAGGTATTAATTGAGGGTGTCAACGGCGGTAGGAATAGAACTTAGGATGTACCATTGCATAAAGAACAACTCAAGTCTAGGGATGGCAACGAGCTGGCCTAGCCCAGGTAACAAGGCCGGCATGGGCCTATCAACTTGCCGAGCCGAAACCGGATCAGATCTAACCTACGCCCGCACCAGCCACACCCTCAAGCCATGGTGAGCCGGTCCCATGGGCCACATTTTGTGACCCAAGCCCTAATTCTTCAAGGTTGGTCTCATTGTCACCCGTACTCAAGCCCTAGCCCTATTCCTAGGACTTATCTCCTCCTTGTTCTCGAGAAGCATGCCCATAAAAGTCTTTAAGGTAGGTTTTCCCGATATTGAAATTTTGAAATGCTGTAGCAATTTTTTGGCAAATGGAAATGCTAAAAGTCCACATTTTCATAAACTAAAAATGTGGACTTCCCCCTATTGAAGAGTAAATTAATCCAAAAAAAATGGAAATGTCAATTTCTCTTTTTGGATTATTTAGTCATTTTGAAAATGTGAGAGAAGGCAAAATTACATGTAGACCAAATTTTATCCCTAAATTAAAAAGAGAGGTTGAATGTCCGTATTCAATATACATATATATATATATATATATATATATATATATATATATATAGTTATTAAGTAGTAGTAGTCGTCGTACGTAGTAGTACGGGTCGGGGTCGGGGTACGTACGGTCGGTGGTAGCGTAGTGGTCGTCGTACGTAGTAGT